ATATTAAATCACTGTGCAATGTTAATCAATATTTAATTCATCGATGTTAATTCCATATATAATCAATATTAAATTCATCAATATTAAATCACTGTGCAATGTTAATCAATATTTAATTCATCGATGTTAATTTCATATATAATCAATATTATATTCATCAATATTAAATCACTATGCAATGTTAATCAATATTTAATTCATCAATGTTAATTTCATATATAGTCAATATTAAATTCATCAATGTTAATTTCATATATAATCGATATTAAATTAATCAATATTAAATCACTATTTAATGTTAATCAATATTTAATTCATGAATATTAAATTACTATGCAATGTTAATCGATATTTAATTCATCGATGTTAATTTCATATATTATCAATATTATGTTCATCAATATTAAATCACTGTGCAATGATAATCGATATTTAATTCATCAATGTTAATTTCATATATAATCGATATTAAATTCAATGTTAAATCACTATGCAATGTTAACCAATATTTAATTCATCAATGTTAATTTCATATATAATCAATATTAAATTAATCAATATTAAATCACTGTTCAATGTTAATCGATATTTAATCCGTGAATATTAAATTACTATGCAATGTTAATCGATATTTAATTCATCAATGTTAATTTCATATATAATTAATATTATGTTCATCAATATTAAATCACTATGCAATGTTAATATTCAATTCAACAATGTTAATTTCATATATAATCAATATTTAATTGATGAATATTAAATCACTATTCAATGTTAATCAATGTTTAATTCATCAATGCTAATTTCATATATAATCAATATTAAATTAATCAATATTAAACCACTATGCAATGTTAACCAATATTTAATTCATCAATGCTGATTTCATATATAATCTATATTAAATTCATCAATATTAAATCACTGTGCAATGTTAATCAATATTTAATTCATCGATGTTAATTTCATATATAATCAATATGAAATTCATCAATATTAATCGATATTAAATTTTAACGGGGATACCTCGAATATTTCAATTCGAAAGGACGGCAAATCAGGAGGAAAGCAACGTACGACGGATTGCTGGTCGGCAGGCGCCCGATTGTTCTGCATTACCAAAAGAGCCATGTACAATCGAACGAACATGCCTACCTGTTTATCTACGATTATTAGAAATCTCTTTGGCTAACGTGCGTGAAACAAGAGACGCTTGGTTTCAGCTCTACTACTATATTTTACCTTGTACTTTACTTGTACTTGTTAAACAATGATCTGTGATGATACTGAGTAATAAAAGATCCTCCTCCGCAGAGGATACAAAGAACCCTTGCAGCAATGCTTTTGCTAAGCACAATGGCACCATATTGTGAAAATATTGATTACGATTCGCCAACAATGGAGACAATGCCGCCGACTTCGCTGCCGTAGCGACACTTGAAAAAAAGAGCTTCTTCTCAAGTACGTCTTGTATGCCTCACGGCACGGCGCGACGCGACGCTGAGAGTTGAATTCCTTCTGCGTTGAATATATTATATACATGTTATACAGAGCTTTTGAGGTCGTTGAAAAAGTACAAAAATACTTCGAGGCACTTTCACACTTATTTACTTAGTTAGTTCAGCTCGCTTCTCAATCTTTCACTACGTATAATTTATAATCGCCGAATTTTCAGGCGATTATCGATTATAATCACAAGGTCTAGAGACTAATCGATATTCTCTCGTGTCGCATGTTTCACGTAATCACGTAATATCCTTCGAGCATTATATTTCAAATGGAAATGATCAACAAACAGCAGTTCATCGGCACACATTCTTCTGGCTTGTTTGCGACTGAAGAGTCACGCAGCAAAAGAGTGAGCAGCGACGCGCACAAGTGCGTGAAATATGAAATGGCAACGGCAGCATTTAAATATTTTTCACTCTTGAAAGATCAAACAGATAGGTGGGCCGCTCGCTTCGTGCTCACCAATAAGCCGTCCAAGTACTCGAAGAACTGTTCACGTGCTTGTACGTGTCCAACTTAAATTTGCTGACGAGCCTCCGGGCGTTCTTGAATGACGGCGAGCGGGGATGAAAAGAACGGAGAGACAGAAATGCCAAAACTTTCGAATCGAATCGACAACAAATTAATTCCGTCAAAAGTAGAATGAGAAGAAATTTGAATTTTATTTATTTTTTTTTTTTTTAAACTGCCTACTTTTTATTTCGATGATGTAATTGTGATGTTGGCAATTTAACGCAATTCGATCTAAAAGAAGAAGAAAAACATAACGATCATCTTTTTAATTGAAATTTTCATTCACTCTCATGGATATGCCAATTATTAGTTTATTTTCAGGAGCCCCATCAGTATCTGTTATCAAGATCTTTAAAGGCTCAACATGGCATCGAAAATTGCCTTCGAGTGTATTTTCATACGATCGGGCATCGCTCGACTCCTTTTACGAGTGGGATATTTAGAAACAGAACAGAATCGCGACGAGCACTCACAATTAGTTGGTGAAAATCAAAACGGCGGCAAATGACGAAGAAAGAGAGAGACGTGCGTACGATTTTTTTTTTCTTTTTTTTTTTTTTTTTTTTTTTTTTTTTT